AAAATGGCCCATGGTGCAGTAGCACTGGCATCTGCAGCCTGCTGCAAATGGGCAGTTAAAAACAGTCAAATTTGTTCAACATTTCTAGGAAAATGGCATGTGCCTTTTGTAGTCAAATCCAGCGCTTGTGAGAGGCAACTGAGAACAGTCCATGAGAATGGCTACAGGAGATTGCTTATTGACATGTAAGGCTTTATTATCTATTTTAGGTTGCAGTGGCTTCAAGTAGAGTAGCCACATTTCCAGACCAGAATGTGACATTTCAAGATCTTCACTTCGCCAGGAATTGTCCCTGTTGCTCAGCCTTATGTCCCCTGTGTCACCTTACCAGTGCCATACTTTCCTAATTTGCAAGTTCACCCGAAACCCAAATCCCCAGGGAGAAGTAGCAACCTGAGCCCCACAGGTCCTGCTCAGGGCTCAGAGAAACCTCAGAGGAGCAGGAGCTGAAAGGCCTGGATCCCCACCAGTACAGCCCACCAAATGATGAACATAAACTGGTCCAAGGTGGATCAGTTCTCTCTGGGATTAATTCTTACTAGAAGGATGCTCCTTCTTGTGTTCTACTGCAATACTAAAACTCCTAGTGTTTGAAGATAGCAGATGCTGTCAACAAGCTGCAGGTACAGTTCTCTGGTATGATCAAAGATAAATAAATAGGAAAGAAACAGCTCTTAAGTCCTTGCTACAAAGCTTACAAGCACCAGAGCATCGTAAGTAAATGACTAGCAGAATTTTTTCATTAGAAGGAAACAACATGTTTTTAATCAAACTTGTTCTTGGATACTGTCAAAGTATTGCCTAGAGGTTTTTGAAAATATTCAGTCTGGGATAGACAAATTCTCGAAGAAAACTGAAATTGTTAAGGTTTGTCAGCATTATACAAAATTGAAAGGAGGGAATGAAACATTGGGCCATTTTTAAAAACAGTTCAGTGCTACTAGCTCCATCTGTACCTTGACCATAATGAACACTTCTTTTTATTTTGCATGCTTCTTTCCATGAGTCTAGTTTTGACTTACTTCAAGTGGCTTAATCTTTGCATATGCTAGTGGCTTGTGCCAGAATAGATTTATTACATGCTTATCTTTTATGAATATTTAAGATTTACGTCATCCTGCTGATGAGATTTTTCCGGCAGGCTGGAAACCAATCAGACCAAGCATGCAGATGCTCAGCTGGGAGCTTCATGTGGGATGAGTCACTATCATGCTGTATCCACAGGCTACACTGGTTCGTGATGAGGAAATAGCTCCTGAGCAGGTACCATCTCCATGTCATGCAGTCAGAAATATGGTGAGCTTGCTAATATGCTAATCTGGGATATTATTTTGTTTCAGAGATTAATCTACTATGGTTAGTGCTGAAGATAAAAGTAGTTATTCTGCACAGATCACTGTGTTCTTTCCATAATGAACAGCAATAGCACCAGCAGTGACATGGTTTTGGTGATGGCTGAGAGGATGATTTATAAAGCCTTTCCCAATAGCTGGAAGAGAAACATAGCTAGGGGACAAAACTCTTCAGGCACAGCTTTGAATTCAGAGTAAGGCTCTTTACTTTCTGTGAGGCTATTTGAGGGATCATACCTGTTTAACGCTCATCACCTCTCGCCTCTGTGTTTTCCTTCTTGCTGAAGTCAGTGTTGAGAGGCCACCAAATAGCAACAAATCTGTCAGCTCTAAATTCATTCCTGTAGGATTGATGGGTGCACAGGAGCAATGGAGAGGCATAAAGGACCTGCTGTGCTCTGTGTGTGCCTCTGCTCTGCGCCTGCACAGCAGCTGGTGGGGTTCACTCACTCTGCCAGAGCGAGAGACAAGGGGCTGCTCCTGCCCTCGGGAGCTCTGGAGCTGCTCTCTGACAGAGCAGCTTTCACTGCTGAGTGGAGGGAGTGGACTACGTTATGGCATTACTTAGTAGAGCTACCAAATATGTAGAATCCCCCCACCCTGTGCAGAGATTGTGTCTTGGCTTTGGAAGGATGCATTTTGCTTTACTGTAAAAGCATTATTTTCTTGGAATCTCTTATTCCTCTGTGCATTTCAGAGATTTACATTTATGTTGGGATTTGGATTTATAGTCCTCATCCTAAGCACTATGCTTCGAGAAAGAGCACAAACATCACATTGCTCTGTATAAACAGATATTTTAACTTGGCAAGGAAAAGTAATGGTCTCCATGAAAGCTAAGAATAGAAACCATGGGAAAAGATCTAGAGGTAAATAATCTCATCTATTCTCCTTCAAATTCCTCTGGTATAAATCTGGGCTAATTTCAGACTGTTGTCAGTGGAATTGCACCAGGTTTTCAGAAACAGCATTTAGGTTAGTAGTTGGCACATGTTCTTGTTTAACCCAAATAACGAAATAATTATTTCAAACTAATACTTTGTTGGGAATTTGTCCATTTTCCTTTAGATTTCAAACATATGAATGGAAAATTAGGAAGATCTTGTTTTGTAATGTTGCAGGGTTTTTTCCCCATGAAGATTGCATAAATGGGGACTGAAGTAATATACTTTCAATTCCTCTGCAGCCACTGAGTCACTTTACAGCCTCCAGTAGTTATAAATCTGTGGTTCCCCTCACTAACAGTTTTTAAAATGAACCGTACAAAAATGAGAAACTTTCCTTTTTCTAATGGATACTGTAAAATTATATTTTCTGACAAACAACCAAGCTGTACCCACAGAAATGCAAGCTAAAAGAATCACAGTAGGAATCAAAGCTGTCCTGCCTTTTTAATTTTTTTTTCATGGTAACAGTTCTCATTCCAGAGCCCTGTTCTGTTCCTTCCCATTTCCAGTGTCCCTTCCACAGTCTTGTGTAAGGAGTATGCAAGAATTTTTCAATACATTTTTCAGATAGGTTTCATGTCTGACAAAAGTGCTATTTCCATTCCCTTCTGTGCTGTTTTTCATTTTAAGTACTTTATGTTTTAAAAACAAAAATAAGAAATGTGGGTGACCCAAGGTATTCTACACATTGTGACATCTCTTTTGTGGTTTACCAACAATCTGAAAGCTACTCATTTCAGAAATGTGAGTTTTTCAGAAAAGAGCCGTGGCATCAATTTTATAGAAAAGTTTTTAATTGAATTTTTGCGTATAACTACTTTACTATATTATGGACTCAAAAGATTGTTGAACACAGACTATTTATAAGTGCTTTGAGGTCTCACAAAAATAGACCTCAACATATTTCTCTTTTATATCATAAATAGCAAGTCTGAGAACATTTTCATGATCCACATCTGCTTTAATTTCAGCAAACCTACCATGAAATACCACCCTCCCCGTGCTCATAGCTTCCCCTAGATCTGTGATTCACTTCTTTCCAATGCGCATGGGTCTTGCAGTACAAACTGGTGCATTCAGAGATATTGAAATATTGAATGCCAAGAACTATGCCTGTGGATTCGTGTTTGGTAGAAAAATGAATGGCATCTCCAAAACAGTCTGGACAGAGACATCCTGCTGTGCTCTCCAGCAGTTCCAGCCACAGGCAGCCTCCTGCCTGGAGAAGTACCTACTGGACCCCATGCCAGTCCTGTCCTTGCTGTAGGCAGTTGTGCTCACCAACCAGCCCCAGCCCAACCTCCCGATATTCTTTGCAAAGTACATTTTAGGTGTTTTGCAGCCCTTGACTACAAGATGACTTTGGTAGGAGCAGGAAGGCTGGCCAGCTCCACAGATGAGTCTGTTCTTCTTTAGAGCTGAAGTCTAGGTGAGAACCCAGCCACATTGCTAGCAAGGACAAAATTCACCTTTAATGTCATTGAGTGTCATTTTTTCTTTTTCAAATAAATTTAATTATTTTAAAGTATATAGGCATTTTCAGTAGTCAGCTAGAGAGCAAACATGGCCTGTCCTAAAGACCTGTGCTCAAACTGGCTGCCCTCAGATTCTTATTTGAAACTCCATCAGCATATTCCAGTGTCAACTGCACAGCGCAGTGCAGGCAGACAATATACAACTGTCATAGAGGCACCTGATAAATATAATAACCCTGCAACATATTGTTTGACATCATCAGGTTTTGACTCTTCATTTTGTTTCATCTCCCCGAGGACTCCTAACCCTTCCATGTTCTCAGCAGGTTTAAAAACAAGCAGGTTGCCTCCTGGAGAAATGTCACATGTGAGAGGAAGAATGGCAAGCTGTTCTTGAATTTTAGTGCATGTCAGGAACTGGAGGGAAGCACTCCCTGACCAGACTCGCAGTCTGGCCAGGGGGGAGGCAGAGCTAAATCCACACTCCATAGCTGGCTGCTGCCCACCCATCTGCAGCAGGGCAGACATGCTCAGGGCAGGGAAAGGCTCCCCAGTCCCAGGGGATCCCCCAGAGTTTTGCTGATTACTGCTGGGGAGCTGTCTCTGAAACAAAAACTTGAAACAGAGTTGCCTTTCCAGATCATTCCCTTGAATTTTGGCCTGTGAGTCACTTGACGGAGAGGACATGGTAAGAGAGCAGTGTGTGCATGCGTGGATGGCCTTTGACTAAGTCCCCATGATGGGCTGACCATCAAACTTCTTTATAACAATGGGTTTATTACAGAGTAAGGCTACATGGATTTGTTCCATTAAATTTTACCTTCCTATAAAATGTGTGTCAAGACTCTAATTACCAAAGCCTAAGCCTCCACTCCTCCAAAAGAAGTGCCTGGCTCCAAGGAAGGCCCACAGCTATGCATCTCAGAAGGGTGAAGGCCTCTCTCAGAGACCAGTATTTTGGGTACCTAACGTACCTTTTTTACATTTCCCCAACTGAGCAATTGAACCTGACATATCCTGTCAAGTGTCCCAAGTGGTCTCTCACTCAGCCTGATCATTGCTTCTGCACTTTTTTTACTTGGCAAACTCTCTTCCTATACCAAGAAGAACCCCAGACTGTTTATAAGTGCCACCTCAAGAAAAATAAAAGAACCAGATTGTTTGTATTCATTTTGATTTTTGTGCACATAACAAAATAAAGCACCCAACCCTGGTCATCAGAATAGTTTGCAAGAAGTAGTATCTTAATCTACCTTGTTGCATGTGCCCCTGAGGTACCCAGCATAACTGGGCTTTAGCCAATGGTCACCATAATAACTCTTTTATGCTCAGCAGGATCACTCTTTTAAAGGGCTGTGTGGTCCTTTGTGGAGCAAAAAATTGATGCTTCTCATCTGTGAGTCTGAAACAGCCAATAATAGGTGTTTACTTTAAGCACTTTTTCAGTAGCTGTGTCTTGCAAATAGCTATTAACTGACAAGGCTGTTAGATTAAACCTGTTTGTTCAGGAATCGGAACTAGGCTGGTAAATACACATCGTGTCACTCTGTCCACAATATACCTTTCCAAAGATACCTTACATACTGCTGTAACCTACCTATACTTATGTATTTTGCTATAATTTAGAAGCTTAAAGAAGGGAGACTACATGGTGCCTATTGTTCTTTGTTTAGATAGTATTGAGCTGCTCACAATGTGACCATAACATTTAATCAAACAAGTAAACGTACTTCAAATGAGTTCAATTTACCTATAAATAATGCCCATTAAACAAGTATGACTGTTACAGCCATGATTTTGTTCTCTAAGTGGGTGACAAAATAAACAGTTCGAGCTACTATTCACATCAACAGCTGCTCCTGAGTCAGCCAAGAATGCTATTCATCACACCAACATCCTCCAGCAATGTGGGGGGGTTTCTGGAGGCTACTCCAATTGTGGATTAAAAGTTTGTCTTCTCAAAATTTGTGTTACCAGGAACTGTTATGGTGGTGAAGAGGCTCAGCTGCCTTTTGAGATGGTCTTTGAAAGGAAGGAGTGCCACTTAACTAGCAGAAAACAAATAAGCATCAAGAGCAGTCTTCTACCCAGCAAGAAGGGAGAAAGGTAGGAGAACAAGTTTTTAAAAGTATGCTTCTTCATAATTCTATTTTATTTATTTCAGTCATCATTATTAGGACAGGGCTGGAGGAGAGCTTGAGCATGTGCATGAAGATTTGTAGGTCTTAGACTTCTGTATCAAAAAACAAGTTGAGAGAGTTTCAGAATCGAAGTTTACTGATTTTCAAGAGCAGAGTGAGAGATACAGGACTCCAATCAATGTTGATGAAGAATACTAGGACTGAAAACACAAAGACAAAATAACAAAAAGGACTTCTCATCTGCCTACTAGACAAGACATTGCCCAGAGCAGGCCTCTAGTAGTTTCTGCTGTTCTGGTGTAAGGACCCCCATTTTGCAGTTGATTTCATCAAAGCTGATTCCCATTTCAAAAGAAGTGAAATGATAAAAGTATCATTCTACTACATGTAATTACAACTTTCATCCTTCATAAATAATGACGTGTGAACTTCCTACACATCCAATTTACAATTAACTTTTGTTTTTTTTCTTCCCTGCAGCTCTTCCCATATAGAAAAGGAAAAACTGGTTGTAAATGTGCATCAGCATTAGGAAAAATAGTATCTGTGCTGATAACCCATGTGGATTTCAGACCCCAGTAAGGATGCAACTGTGCTGTGAATCTGTAAATGCCTCTTGCATAAGGAGCAGCTGGTCAAACAGTATCCGTGTTTCCATGTATATCTTCATGGTTTGCATCATTCTGGCCACAGTGATTGGAAATTTGGTGGTTATCATCTCAATATCACATTTCAAGCAGCTCCATACACCTACTAATTTCCTGATACTTTCGATGGCTACAGTAGACTTCCTGCTGGGATTCTTCATTATGCCTTGCAGTATGGTGCGCTCTGTTGAGCACTGCTGGTATTTTGGGGAGCTCTTCTGCAAGATCCACACAAGCACGGACATTATGCTGAGCACAGCTTCTATCTTCCATCTTTCCTTCATATCCATTGACCGCTACTATGCTGTATGTGACCCTTTAAGATACAAATCAAAGATAAATACTTTTGTTATCCTGGTCATGGTGTTCATAAGTTGGATGGTCCCTGCTGCTTTTGCTTTTGGGATGATCTTTCTAGATCTAAACTGGAGAGGGGCAGAAGAGATTTATAATCATGTCCATTGTGCAGGAGGATGCTTTCTCATTTTTAGCGAAACTTCAGGTGTTGTGGCCTCCACAGTGTCTTTTTACATCCCTGGATTTGTTATGCTGTGTATCTATAGGAAAATATACTCTGTAGCCAAGAAGCAGGCAAGATCCATCCATGCAATTAGCAAAAAAAAGATGCAATTTGAAATGAAGCACCACATTTCATTCTGCAGAGAAAGGAAAGCTGCTAAGACATTAGGCATAATAATGGGAGTGTTTCTTATCTGCTGGACTCCATTTTTCTTCTTTACAGCTACCAATCCATTTATGAATTATGTGATACCTCCTATTCTCCTTGATGCTTTGGTTTGGTTTGGCTATTTAAATTCTACACTTAACCCAATTGTTTATGCATTTTTTTACATGTGGTTTCGCAGGGCATTAAAAATTATTCTGTTCGGAAAAGTTTTTCAACAGGACTCTTCTAGGACTCATTTGTTTTTAGAGTGACATGTTTTAAATGGTTGGATTCATGGCTTTGAATTTTCAGTGGGCGCTTGAACTACTTACTGGATGTAAGAGGTGAAAAGGAAGGAAACACCTAATTGTTTACTCATTTACCAAATCTAGTTCAAGCAGATAAGCAACTTTTGTGCTTTATGTCTTCTTTCATTCCAAACTGAGATTTGTATGTAGTGTTTTGATTATAGATATTTTTATGCAATGCACAGAAGAGCACAACTTAAGTTTAAAAAAACTTACAGAAGTTTATATCCCTGATTTAATCATTAAAAAACTATTCTGATACAACAGATTAATTTCTTGAACAAGGTGTGATTGTATTTCAACATTTGTGCTCATTTGTTGTCTGCTAGAGAGAGAAAAGCCTTTCCCTTTGAATTTCTAGACATTTTTGAGTAATAATCCAAAGCCCTTTGAGTTTTGTCCCTCCCATTCAGTATGTGTGGAGAACTCAGAACAGGCCCATAGCCAGCCATACTAGCATTCTTCATGGAGGGAAGATGAGACAGAAAAAAGCTGTGCTGCTCCTTCTGTTTCCATTTCAACTAGTGCTTGTCACTTATGAGATTGCCACCTAAAGTCTTTGCTGCTTAATGAGATCAAAAGCATGTTTAAAAAGATCAAAGACAAGGAAACATACAATATGTGAAATGAAAAGCAATCGCAAAAAAATCGCATTCAACCTAGGAATGCCAGAAAATTGTGTTTATCTAATGAATATTTATATATTTGCCAATTTGCATATTACAGAACTTTTTTATTTTAGCTTAGATATACTGTTATTTTGTCTGATGGCAATGCTGTGACAAGTTTTGAGAAAAGCATATAGAGAACTGTGAAGAAATCATAGAATCACAAAGTGTTAAGGGGTTGAAATGGACCCTGAAGATCATCCAGTCCCACCCACCCTGCTTCAGCCATCCCATGCATGCTGTGCAGAAGTTTGGAGGGTGCTGTGATTTATCCCCAGTAGACAGTTCAGCCCCATGCAGCTGCTCTCTCACTCTCCCAGTGAGACAGGGGAGAGAATTGGAAGGGTAAAAGTGAGAAAAATTGTGAGTTGAGATAAAGACAGTTTAAGAACTAAAGCAAAAGCTGCACACACAAGCAAAGCAATCACGGAATTCATTACTTCCCATCTGCAAGCAGATCTTCAGCCATTTCCAGGAAAGCAGGTCTCCACCATGTGTAACGGTTACTTGAGAAGACAAACACTGGAACTCCCAACATCCCCTTCCCCCTTCTTCCTCTGAGGTCTGATTGCTGAGCACATCATCATATGGTGTGGGTTATCCCTTTGGTCATTTGGGGTCAGCTGTCCCAGCTGTGCCCCCTCCTAACCTCTTGTGCACCCCCAGGCTACGCACTGAAAAGGCCTTAAGGCTGTCCAAGCACTGATACCATGGGGGTTCTGTGTGTATGTTATCAGTACTGGTTTTCATCACAAATTCAGAACGTAGCACCATACAAGATACTATGAAGGGAATTCACCCTATCCCAGTCAAAACAGTAGAGAGGGTATCCCAGCATCGTGGCTCCACAAGAGCACAGCAATCTAATGTAAAGGGAAGCAGTAGAAGAAATTTTCAGTGTACAGACCAACAACTCTCTGGCAAGGAAGTCTAGCAAAGGTGTCACCAATATTTATTCTCTGAAGAAGTAAGAATGGGTTTCCACACACAGAGAGCTGGTGACCTTCATCCTTACCTAGAAGGCAGTTCTCCTTGTTCTTAATAACCCACAATATAAGCCAGCTTTGTGCACAACCCAGAAAGTTTCATAAATAACTTTATTCCCTAGAGTCCTGTTACCTAAAGGTGGCGCTTTCTAAAGAGCCTCTTTGCCTGCTGTTCATAGACAGCCTTCTCCAACAAAGTGACTACTAGGAAGTCCCAGGTTACTTTCTCTCATTAGCTCTAATCACAGACAAGCACAAAGCTGTTTCTCACTGTAAGGGGGATGTACAAATGAGATGTGTTAATGAGGCCACAGGGACACTATTTGAACGCAAGACGTGGATAAATTAGGATAACACAAGAAAAATGCCTCATTTGTTGTTCAATCAGATTATGAAGTTAGGTCTGGTGAAGCAGAATATACCTTACTGTGATCTCAAAGTATCATAATGCAAATGGAGTGCAAAGGGTATTTTAAAAATCCTTATCAACACATTTAATTAGTGTCTTTATTAAACACTTCCCAGATGGCTCCTGTTTGCAAAACAAAGTAGTCCCATTTGGATGATTTCATGTTTTAAACTTCCCCAAAAACTTGTTCAAAGCAATTACTCCAGCATGATGAAGGCTGTTTCACCAGTAAACTTATGACTGTTCATTTTGTCACCAGTGAGCACCATTTCCAATACCACCTTCCTCTCGTACTTTGTACAAAACTGACAGCAAAATTCAGAGTCCTGAACTGCTGCCTGTATCCTGCCTTAGTGTCTGTAGCTCGTGTGTTGGTGGACCACCTCATGCATGGTGGTGCCACCTGCATCCAAAACTCATGGTCTACCCCTCAGAGGGGCAGATACCAGATGCAGGAGAACAGGAAAATAGGAGAAGCACCAACTGTCCAAGCAGGACCCTTGTAAGGAATTAAAGAATACTTTGTCTCAAACACTGTTAAGATCACAATAGGGGTTCACCTTAAGATGCGTTAGCCACCAAGGTGACAACTTGAGCTAATTCCAGGCCTTGCAGAGGCAAGATCTGGTTAGCACATCCTGATTAATGTATCTAAACAAAAATTCCCACTGTGGCGAACTGCATATACTTATCAAAGATCACCCTGAGATTTTGACATCGGACAGGTGGTACCTGCAACCACCAAACCCCCACTCCAAGGAAGCATGGAAATGAAGGCATGCTCATCCTCACTTCACATGCAAATGAAGGCAGGACTATCCTCTCTTCACATGGAAATTAGGAATACACCTCCACAGGTACCTGGGATTTGGACTGCATAAAGGTGGTACCCCAAGATGAGCAGCTAGGGACCCCCCCCCAATGTTTGGGACCCCACCACCAGAAGCACAACTGGGACCTCCACCATCAAGAAGACCAGGGTGAAGATGGACAGACAGGATGCTGCTAGATCCATGGGTGGTGACTATCTGTCCCTCTCTCTTCCCTTCTCTCTCACTCTCTCTCTCTGTCTTTCCCCCTCTCCCTATCTCTCCCACACTCTCTTTCCCCCTGCTCTTTTCCCTTTCTTTCTATCTCTCTACCTCACATTTATAATTACAATAAAATAAACCCCTTATTATTATATTATTAACATATTATTGACTTTTGTCATATGGTCTTATTTGCAATGTAATTTGGGCAGAGGCACTCACAAATTGGAGTGTAACAGCCCCTATAGAAATCTCACAAACAAAGCCTCACTTCAAAATGGAGCATTTTAAACTGCTAGATAAAAAAATACATTAGTGCAGTGTTCAAATGGAAAAACTGAGCTCTCAAAATGTGTCAATATTATTAAGTGTATGGCATTCCTTAAATCATTAACTCATTTAGGTTGTGCACACTGAGCACTCTCTGTCCTCTACAATGCATTAATAGCCATTCAACAAGGGAGACCGGATACAGTCAAACATAAGATACTTAGTATTCAACAAAAGTCTTTTACTTCCGTAAATTTTGTGGTTATCTTTGTTACCTACAACACTACTTCCACACCACTGCACCTAAAGACATAATCCAGAAGAAGACTACCTATTTGTAAGCACTTTTTGACTCATCTGTTTCCATTAGCCATAGACTAAATTTTAACAATTTCTATGATGAAATGACTGGCCTGGTAGACAAGAGCAGAACAGCTGTTATTGTCTACCTAAACTTCAGTAAGGCTTTCAACACTTTCTCCCATAAGACCTTCATAGAGAAGGTAATGAAGTATGGGTTGGATAAGAAGACAGTGAAGTGGATAGAAAACTGACTGAATGAAGAGGACTGAAAACTGACCAGAGCCAGCGGATGCTGATCATTGGCACAAAGTCTGTTTGGAGGCCAGCAACTAGTGGTATACTCTAAGGGTTAATACTGGGTCCAATCCTGTTCAACATCTTCATTAATGATCTGGATGATAGGGCAGTGTGTACCCTTCCAACCTCAACCATTCCATGATTCTGTGATTCTATGAAACCTAATTCCAATAATATTTTCTGAGTCTTGCATAATGTCTTGCATAACCAGCTACATTTAATTTCCTACTTTGTAGGTTTTTTAATAAGATCTTTTTGTCTTGATGATATCACTTTAAGTCCAATCAGCTGCAAGAGCAAATGAAAAGACTTCTATGAGATGATTATGCAACAGCCTTTGTAAAACAAGTTAATTTCTTAAGAGACCAGATCCACAGGTAACTTAGAAAATGGGAACTCTACAATCCACTCCTAGATGTCTTGACTTCTTATTT